CATGGGTAGAAAAAAAAAGGTCAAAATGCAAAGGGGTCAAGCTCGTGCCCGGGTATTTGGCCTTTTCCCTCTCTTAATGCCCCAACAGTACTATTACTACAGCTGAGGAACCATAAAAACAAGACTACCACTGGGAAACGCAAAACATAAGGTTGAAATAACAGAAGCTTTTTCAGATGTTACTGACCACAAGGTTTGTATTCAACTAAAGTATGTGCCTAATGTGCCTTCATTGAATCTGGCAGTTTGTGATCAGCAGATCTGTGGCAACCTCACACATTGGTAGCATATTGCAATTTTTCTTTCTGCCCAATGTCCAGCTGCTACATCTAATGTGTATTTTGAGGTGACAAGATGAAATAAATGTGCAAGCTATAGTTACTGTGTAAGCATCTATGTGTGTTTGCAGTGTGCTCCATATGGTAAATTAATAACATTACAGATCTGCACTGTCCTGTGGACTTTAGCCTTTGAATTTGAGCTTAAATAAGTAATTGAAAACACTGTTTGTACTCTATCTGGAGTACAGATTAGAAAAAAAATAACTTAATTTGGACTTTTTCATGATGTGAAATAAATCATGTTAATATGCATATCTGGATGCATCAGTTTAAAACGAAATGTGACTGTGTCCCCTCCTCTCTCTGTGTAAGCTTGGGCCATATGCTGAAAAGGTCCCATGTTTTTCATTAGTGGTTGCTTTAAACTGGTTTGAAATCCTGGGAGGGTGGGGAGGAGTTAGGAGAGAAGATGCATTTAGACCGCTGCACTCTTCCCTCACACATGCAGCAGATTCATTCCAGTGTGATATGAGAGCAAGCACTTCACGCTGTTTGCCCATTAAATTTGAAGCTGCTAAATTTTTCGCTGAAATGCTAGGAAGACATTCAACCTCCATCTCTAATCTTAACTGACCATATGACCCCCTCGAGCACTGGGGAGGGGAGGGGAACCAGATCGCAGCATCACATGGTGCATTTCATCTGAAAAAATACCAAGGCTTGGAAAGTCATGACTTTGTAAATAATGATCAGATGTTCCTAAACCCTCCTTTTAGCCAATTGAAAGGCGGACCTCACCACAAGGCACTGAGCACACTTGAGTCAATAAGCCAGTTAGCAGAAAGGAAAGAAAAAGAATTCAATTCTTGACTTATTTAATAGGGGATTTGGCATGGCAGGTCAGAGGGTGTAATCCAGGAGATTGGACACTGATTCTTTAATCAAGTGGCTCCACAGTACATCTCCTTCCTCCCCTCCTGATTTCACTCTTGTAAGAGGGTCTCCCTTGTGTAGCGCTGAATTTCAATGGCCCACTCCTCTGCTCGTTCAAATCTCCCCTCTCTAACTTCTGCTGCATGGAAGCCGGGCGGAGACGAGGGTGCAGTACATGAATAACCCAACCATCTTTTCTTCTGTGACTACTGGATAAATTCAGCATTTATTAACAATAACCCATTCATTATTAGCAAATGGCAACCAACCACTCTTTTAAAAACCTTGGGCCTGTGTATCAGGAAATTGGCAAAGGCAGGCTAGCGAAACTGCAGTGAATAGTGGAAAAAAGGCAGCCGTTTGGTGGCTGTGTGCCATGTTCAGCAATGCAGTGGATCGCTTGTTGTAGCAACAGCTTCAGTTTGATTCTGCACAGGCTACTTGTTTCTGCTCACTCCCTGTACTTCTGTCTAAATGAAACCACGAGTGAAACTGCTTTTAAAAATGGCATGATTCTGGGAAGACTCTAGCCGAGAATTAAGACCAGCAACATCTGCCGGCTAATTGAAGTCAGGATAATCTGCTGACGATAAAATCAATTTTGGGCAATGTATGCAGAATTCCAAAGCATTACTTGAACCAAGTACTGAGAAGATCTGTGTCTCCGGTACATAAAATAAATGTGTTATGTCTCTCTGAAGTATTCATTACAATACTCTGCAAAAATATTCTATATTAATGTGATGGGAGAGAAAGAGAAGACCATGTTGGGTTTCTTGAACAGATAAAAATGTGCCTCCTCCTGGATTCAAAGCTAGTATTGACACCTCACATATACATATACATTACATAATCACGTGAGCCTCTAATCCCCTTGGTATTATCTGCTCCACTCTCTTCTTTAGAATAAACACTTGTAAGCATACATCCACATGCAGACATCTCTGCACATACATAAACCAGGAGACACAAATTCATCCCCATGGATCTCCTCCGCCCTGTCCCCAAATCCCAGAGCATGAGTAATTGTAAGGCCTAGTGAAATAATCGTAGCTTTCAACACTAATGGAAGTCCTGCACATTCATTATTCAGTCCAGGAAACAGAGTGCCACAAAGTGTCAAGGGACCCATGAGTTATTACTCAGCATGAACAACCTAAGACTACGGGGGAAGTGATAGAAGCTCACTGCACTCTCTCTTCCACTGTCTCCGTCCCTTAATATCTCCTTTCCCTCCCTGCGTCCATCTGCGCTGGCAGACAGGCACCACACAGGCACCACGAGATTGTATCACAGCTGTGGCGTTGTCAGGCGACTAGTGATGGGTGTACTGTGTTGCTGCAGACAGAATGACAGACGGTCTGAGCTCTCCCGTGTCACTGCGGCACTTGACTACAGACAGCCATGACCAAGGGGAGAAAAGGTTTCCATAAGTTACAGCCCCCCCGGGACTGCTGTGGGAGGAATGCAGCAGCAGGGGGCATGACAGCAGTGGGATGTCTGTGTGTGCGTGTGTGTGGAAGAGGGTGGGGGATGGGGGTGTAATGAGGAGAGAGACATAGGGGTTAGGTGACCTGCAGATAACACATAGCAAGAAAACAGATAGGTTTGATATGTGAACATGCCCACACTTGTGCTCGGGAAAAGCGACACCAAGAGCCAGCCATTACTGTTAGTCCACACTCCTTTTAAGTAACAGCCATCAGACAGAATTCCAGCAATGCACTTAAGCCTTCTTCATTTTCTATGTCTAGACACTGAAAGTCTTAAATCTTGCTGTTACTCACTTTTCACGTGGAACTGAAGGGAAGTGGCAAGGTGGTGAAGGATTGTTATGACTGGAGATCAAAGAGAGAGATATTTCAAACTACTTCAAGGTACCCTTTCAACGTAATTATAAAGTTGTATATATTTAGCAAACCTGCTGAGTGCCCTAACTATCTGCAATCTTGAGCAATTGGCGGCATGCAATTAAGAAAGGCTAATTTGTTCTACACAGCAGGTGGAAAAGCCTCACTTTTACCAGGAGTGACTCTTTTGTCAACATGTCAGAAAAAACAGAAAAAAAACCCTAACCCTCGTACCACTCACCGCTACACAAACCATTTATTGAGACTGTTGCATTCATTATTTCCTCTTTGCTTGCACAGAATCGAGAGGTTTTTCAGTCTCTCTCCACACTGCTCCATCAAGCTGCAATGCAGAATCAAACATGCTCTCAGAAAGGAAATTATCCTGCTGATGTTAATGAAAGCACACAAGAAGCATGTCCCAATCAGAATCATTTCGCCTGCCTGTCTGTAGGAGTTTTTCTTCTATATAGGATTATAAAAGATAAATTAGATTTATTTATTTTATTATTTTGTAATTCACTATTTCTCTGTTCAAGCTATGATATAATATGAATGTCAGTGGAGATAAGAGTTTAAGCGCTCTGGGCATTTCGAGCATACATTAGTGGACATCAAGTTTACTGGCTGTAATTGAGTATTCTTGTCCGTGGCTGTCTTTTCGACTCAGGCGATTTAGCATGCCAGCATGTTGCTATAAAAATGACCCAATTAATTTGATTAGGAAACCAAGGTTCAAGATACAGAGAGTGAAAACATGAGTGGAATGGTATAGGTTGCAGTGGGATGTTAATGAGAGAGAATATTAGTGAGGGAGAAGTGTATAAAGGAGTTTATGTGCACGCATGTTACATCTGGTTTAAGAAAAACCGTGAACAAAGAGCAAACACGCAGGGGTTCACTTTAGTGTGCCTTTGGTGTTCATAGGAGAATGGTCAAATGCTTAGCAGCACAAATTGAAATAACTGTGCTCTTTTTAAATATTCATCAAGAGTGCAAATTATTAAAAATACTGGAATAGTGTATTTGTATCCGCTATGCATAACTGAGCAAGTCTTATCTGCTAATAAGGACTTGGCCTTCTCTTAAGGGAATATTGTTAAAACTGTATGTTATAGAAACTGGGGGAACTGTAGCGCAATTGAATTAAAACAGAATGTAAAAAATGGGCTCAAATTGTTTATTACTTGTGATTGCATTGTTCTTAAAGAAGGAGACTGCATTTGGCTCCCAACAAACTGCTTGAGTCAATAAATTGGAATATACTGAATCCTTTGCCAGGCTTTTCGTTTAAGTATCTGCTTTTTGTGTTACTCTGGCTCTTGGCAGAGAGGCAATCAAATCATCGTGATCAGATCATTTGGTTTATTTGTTCATATATTGTTGCTTAGTTTGTGTGCTCTGGAACAAAGAGTCTTGTGGCCAATGTAGATATAGATACTCCAAAAAAAAGCGTTAAAGCTGAAATTCAGTACTGCCTTGACTTTAATCTGAAATCTGCTGAAAAATACAAAGTAAAACAACAAAGTAAAATATGATGACACGACTTAGTGGTTTCTCTTATTCATAATGACTCCTTAACGGACATAAATTAGAAGATAAATTCGAAAACAGTGAAAAATGCTATGCAAAAAGAGTGAGGTCTGCAAACTCTCTCGCCTGGACTCCATTCTTGTCTGCCTCGCTGATGCAAGCACAGCATACGGAATACGAATGTATTAAAATGCGGAGTATTTATACTCTGGATATCAATTATCATAATGGCTACCTTTTTTGTAATAACACACAATCGTCTGACATCACACAAACACATAAAACGCACAGCGGTGCACTTGCTCCGCTCCTCTTGGAACCCTCCTTCCCACGATCCGCCCACCATCTCGGGACTAAAGTCACGTGTCTCACCGCCTAGTGTGTCTCTGCTAACCGACTCCACCACAAATCAAACTCACCCAGCGCCCGGTGGAGAGATAAAGGCAGATGGGAAAGAGTGTGGCGTGCACGCACAGAAAGCCCTTACGACGCCAGTGGACTGTAACGGAGAACGTCCAATAGCGGCTATCGGGGTGAAGCGAAATGCGCTCATTTTTTTTCCCATAGAGTAGGAATATGACAAGGCGTGTGAACAGGACGGGAGATGAGCTTCACACAGTTTCGGAGACCCTCTTCTCCTTGTGATCTTACCCAGTACGCCTTTGAGCCGCAGGGCTTCGGGCGTGTAGAGGACAGAAAGCGCACCGCACAAAGCCGCTCCAGCTCAACTGCGGATCGGAGAATTTTTTTTCTGCCTGTATCTTATTAAAATCTGCTGGAGTACTGTGTGCCAAGAGGAATGGTGGCCGTCACCATGAGGGTTCTTTCAGCGAACTTGTTTTCTCTGCTTCTCCTGTGCGCCCTCGCAAGTGTTTTCTACGTCTGGAGCGCACTGGAGGACCGTTTGGAGCGACACAAACGGAGGTTCTCAGTACCAGGTGCAGGGTCCTTTCACCAAGCTCTCCCAGTGGACCTTTCAGCCAAAACTTTCCGTGCATTGCTTGCTGTCCCAGCGGCACAGAGACTGCACTTTGGAGACAGACTAAAGACTCGCCTCAACCTCACCAATCAACCTGTCTCTGCAGGAAATCGAGATTACAATATGAATGGGGATAACAAGAGGTCAGCCCCGCGGGAGGGCCCGGTCAAGTTGTCCCCATTGGAAGACGGAATATTTTGGAACGAATGGCTGGAAGATACCCTTCCTGCGGGATTCACGGAGGAATATGCTCTGGCTTGGCAAAAGAAAGCGAGGACGTACCGGGTGGTGAAGCTGGAGCCGGGATGCGGCAGGATATCCAATCAGCTTGCCACGTTTGCAGACGGGACCAAAGCTTGTGTGCGTTACGGGATAAACGCGGACCAAGTGCAGGGTGAAACTTTGACTTATTACCTTGCACGTTTGCTTGGCATCACAAACCTGCCCCCTCTCATACTGTCCCAGCTGGACAGTGACAGTGAGCAATGGGAAAGTGTGAGGACGCGGATAGATGGTTTACAGTGGAATGACCGAGCCGTGGTTTCTCTAACTCAGTGGATCTCCAACCTGACAGGGGTCATCACACCTGCGCCGCTGAGACAGGAGAGCAGCGGGCTGCATCCTGCGCTCAAGGAGCTCTGGAACAAGACAGCGGTGGAGCTGCTGGAGCTGATGCAGTGGACAGACCTGATCGTATTAGACTACCTGACGGCAAACTTTGACAGGCTCGTCAGCAATTTGTTTAGTCTGCAGTGGGACTCCCGTGTAATGGAGAGAGACACGAACAATCTCCTGAAAACCCCTCGCGGTGACCTCGTATTCATAGACAACGAGGCCGGATTAGTGCACGGGTTTCGAGTGTTAAACATGTGGGAGAAATATCACAATACAGTCCTGAGCTCTGTGTGCGTGTTTAGAAAAAGGACCACGCAGCGCGTGGCAGAGCTGCACACGCGCAGAGACTCCAGGCAAAGGCTGCTGGAGCTCTACAGAGACAGCGAGCCTTTGTCTCAGGAATTAGGATTTCTCTCAGATGAGCACGCCGGTGTTCTCCAGGACAGGATAGACAGATTATATACACACATTGTGCATTGCAAAGGAAAATACGGCCAGCTGTGAACATTCAGCATGCACAGGTGATGGATTTGTTGTCTGCCTGCACAGTAATGAGCTTTGCAAACGCAGCTGGCACACCTGTGCTAAGCTGATGCGCATTACACAGAAAAAAATGTCTTGAATATCCAGCTGAACTACCTCCTGTGAATAGAATGTGTTTCCTAGTTTATCAATGAATCAGTTTGACACGTTTATAAGCTGAGATATTCACTGTTCGCCTCACTGTGAAGAATGACCCTGTCTTTACTTCACCCCTCTGATGTTCACCTGAATATGACTAAATGTAAAGAGTAGACTATGCGTGGTGGGTATCATAAACTACCCCTTCATGTGCGGTTTGGATTGTTGATTTATGTTCAATAATCCCAATGATAAACTCCTAAGCCTTAATGTAAGTTGACTCTTGAATATTGTATTTCTGTTGACGTTCAGCTCGCTCTTTTAGAGAAGATCTTTTGCACACACATTGCCAGCACCTGCACTCTTGTAATTGTGTTTGGATAGCGTACTTAGCCTTAATTTCACAGGTGGAGCATATTCATTTGTGCATTTGTCTGATGTAAATACTGTCTGCCAACCTGTTTTGGAAATTTGATGCTAAACTAATTTAATGTGCTTTTTAACATTCCAAAAAACTCTTGTTTTTTTTTTTATAAATATGCTGTAATTTAACTTCTCTGTTAATGCGTATTTTGTATGCAGTTTGTTCTTAACTGCCTTATTAGAACGCATCAAATATTTACCTATTTTGTGTGGAGTGCTGTTTTTTTTTTCTTTTTTCCTTGTTTTTGAAGCCTCTGTTGCCTCTGTACTTTCCCATACAGTGCTCTCATTGTACTGTAGAAATATCTTGCACTGGCACACTTCCCCAGGAGCCATTCTGTCAGCCACAGGCACGCTACAACAGGCGTCTCTAATCCCCTTTATAATCTCACCCAGAATGATGAACTGAAGGAGACGAGTGACATTATTTGACATCATTTGAAAAGGAATTTGCTGTTCCCTAACTATATTATGACATTTCATAGCTATACCGTATATTGCAGAATATTTTTCGCATAATATAAATTGGTCAACCTATAAGCAGTCTGCCTTACTGGTTGCATGTGCTGCATGTGCTGTTAATGAGTGTTTTGCCCTCAGTGGAGAGACTTGTTTACGGCTTTTTATGGGTTGGAAATGTAACCGTGAAAGGTTTTCAAGAGAAAAACCTCAAGGCCAGCTGCGTTATTTCGCTGTATAGTCTGTGCTGTCACTTTACATCAGCACATAATTTTTTAAATTTGAACCTTATAGAGCCATACTTTTCTTATTCGTTCCACTACAGGCCTACTTCTGTGTCTGATCTCTGGTTCCAGACTTATGAGCACATCTAAGGGAAAGACAGTGATCAAACTTTTGACAGACTAATTCTTTCCAGCCTTTTGCTATCCTAGAGCCCATCTGGTTTCTTTTAAAATTTCTTTATATATGTTCAACTCCAGGACACGCCACAAACTGTTTGCGCGACTCCACGAAGAGAGATGAATGCACCTTGTAAAATAGTGGCTCGATCTTTGTACTTATACTTTATTTCATGGTTTACGGCATGTTTCAGTGAATTGTTCTTCTGCCTGCTAGGTCACTGCATAAAGGGAGACAGGCAGCAAAAGTGTAAATAGGTGTAACTGGAGGCATTCTGCTGTGCTTCAGCTGTAATAGGGACTTGGGGATCAATATGTGCACTGACTGGTGTGTAGGCGAAAGAAGGTCATGTTAATGTGCTGCCTTTTCAGTTAAAATAGGAACATGTGTTTCAAGGCCCTTGCAAAATCTACACTTGCAGCTGGGTATGGTGCTCCAGGCATGTCTGTTAATACCAAACTCTGCAAAGAGATTTACAACCGGCTGCAGGCTCTGGGGATTAAAAACAATGCAAAGCTAAGGTCTGCATGTCGAAGACAGACTTGTGACCTTTCCTCCTTTCTTGCCTCGCATGATTTCCCCTTCCGTATTCCATCCACACCATGCCCATCTTTTTGTGCATCTGTCTTTGCTCTTAACATCACTGTCAGCTTCATTTATTACCTAAATTGAAAATGAAAGTTTCATTTTCCTAATTAGTTTTTTTGTGGATTCCTTTGCACAAGAAAGTCATTTTTTAACCCGGGTTTCCTGCCAGCTGTAATCACACTAATGGGGTATTTCAAAGAGGTTGTTGAAACACCCTTAACTGTTCACATATGTTCTTCCTTCACTCTTACCGCCTTGCTTATTTCAGATAACCACACAGACTTCATGAGGTCTTTTTTTTCCCCCACCCAACACCAACAAAATCTTCATACAGATAAGTTTGTGTAGTTGTGTAATGAATGCAATTCGTCCTAGCTTGTGGCATCAGTGCAGCAGATTATTTTACTTACAAGTTAATACGTGTCAGTTTTCTTCTGTTTCCTGCAGATGTGTTCGTTTTTTTTCTGTGTAAGTACAGACAGCCAGGGGCTAACAGCATGCCCGAGCACAGACCCCAGGTACTCGAGCCAATCTTGTTCTTCTTTGTGCAAATTTCAAACATTCCTGAGGAGCTGAGGGAGGATCATCTCCACAGACACACCAGCACACACAGACACTTCTCAGGCACTGAAGCGTCCCAGCTGTGTACACAAACCGCTGTCAACGTTGACTCAGATCCTTTTTCATCTTTTAAAAAAAAAAAAAATTACAGCATGCTACATTTTATTAGGAACAGAAAGACATTTCAGTAGATGCTAATTATTGTTGCTTTCTTGCTGTAAGGTAAGTGAGAGTCTAGTCAGTTTGGCGTCAGGAGGCTATACAGCCACAATCTTATTAACTAAAAGGAAAATCTACTTATCAGCTCTTCTAAATCTCACAAATAAACCTTTTACTGTATCTTGTCTACTGAGTCCATATACATTAAAGAAAGAGTAAAATGATGTGACTGTGCTGGTTTAATAAGATTTAAGATTAAGTTTTTCTTTTGGCCAAGAGGAGTGACTCCTCCAAATTCTCAGCCAACTGCCTGGCAAACCTATGGCGACAACAAGACTATGACAACACCTGCCAAGAAATATTCTGGCACACACTACCCTGTAAATTTGCTTGTTGTTTCTACACTTGTTGAGCTGTGCATTTAAGAGTAAAAACAAGGCGTAACATATCAGATACTGAGTTCTGGAGTTATTTAATAGACTTTAGATGTTTTTTCTATTTTATTTATTTCAAGAAAACAGGACTGCTTTTGTCAGACCTTGCCAAAAAAAAAGAGCATTTTCCCAGACACTAGGTGACAAACTGACTGGTGGCCCATGAGTGGAAGAACACAACTTGCATTGTTTCACAGCTACACAGTACAAGGAACTTCCTGCGCATGACTGAATGATTTCATTATGAAACTCAGGAAGAGTCACTTAGTCACAGCTGAGTGGATTCGGGCCACGATGGTTAAACTGGGGGGGGTGTTGGGGCAACGACTCGAGGGCCTTTGACAATGCAAGCACTGGACATGCAGGCTGTGGTGTGCCTGAAGAGCTGGCACAAAGACTGAATTTGTCCAATCCAGGGCTGGAAGTGCGAGGCCAAAGGCTTTGTGCATTCTTGTACAGCAGAAAGTAATGAGAAACAAACTAAGGCGAGAAGGGGAATCCACATGCATCATGGAGAAAAAATATGTCAAATATCTGAGAATGTGCAAATTAACTGAAGTAAAAGTTAAATATTATTTTATGTTATGTTGAACATTTGCTAGTTTTACCACTAGTTAAAAATGTCTTAATTTGCTCTATGATTTTGAAGTTCTTTGGGTAACAATTCATGAGACCTCAGATCCAAGCTATAACCCCTCTGTCCAGGTTTTCCCACCATTAAAACCATGCCAGGTTAATTTCTTCTGCCACTGTGCCCTTGACCAAGGCACTGACTTACAATTTGAGGTGATCCCTGGTGTCTCCATGGTGGCTGCACACTGCTACTACTACTACTTACTAAAGTTTGCTGATCCTGCTTGTTGTTTTTCCACACTTTTAAAATACATTACCACTGCCATTGACCGCTATTGAGCTTTAGGCTCCCAGGTGCTGAAAGACAAGGATTCTTTGTCCCTTTCCAGTCATCTCTGTGCTCTCCCGCAGCTGCCACCCTTGCAGATTGTCGAAGAGATTACAGCGAACTTGTTTTTTTCAATCACAGAAGTGTGTTACCGCCACTGCAAACATCTTTTTTCCCCCTCAATCTGTGATGACAAACCCTAAGTCAAATCTTTGATCTCAATAGTTTACGTAGACAGAAATATAGACAAGTCATTGTCTATATATAATATAAGGCTTGGAGCAATGTTGTAGCCTACAGAACACAGATGCAGATCTGCAAATAATCCGTTAACAGTTTTAGAAACAAGAACTGTTTAGCCTCAATTTGGTTTCCCTCTATTTTCCCTTAATGCGATTTGCTTCACGCTAGTCATAGGATACATAAAAATAAATCCTGATTAATTTCAGCACTTAAATCCATCCTGTTTGTCATGCTGCGCTCATCAAGCTCTGTCTCCAGAATGTCACACCGTAGCCTGCAGACAGTCATAAGCTTGAGTTGATTTCATGTTCAACATTTCTATTTGATATCGTAAACACTATGTCTACAGATATGAGAACAGGCAGGAAAGTCTACTGTCCAACATATCTACAGCACATTTATCATAAACTATTCTTCCCCTCTTCACTTAGCAGATGTGCAAAATGGGAAAAAAGCAATTAAACTAGTTTCACCATGATGCTTTATGCCAGCATTTTAGCGAGTTTTGTTTTAATTTCGAACCAGGAAGTGAAACGTAAGATTTCTAATCTCTTTCGTTTACTTTGGCATGACATTGGCTCTCTTGTAGGGGGCCTTGTTGTGTTGAACTGTTTTGCTTCTCCCCTCTTGCATAGCATTTGATCAACATCCTTGATAAAAGTTGATATTAATCTAGGTGAAGCTTGTCAGTACAGAAAGCGGACCAGTTTTAAGTAACATGCAGCTTTTCTCATTTGCATCTGGATTCATCTCTATCTCTATGTAAATGTGAATTAGTATGCTCATGGAAATGACTTCTTTCCACCCCAATCTCTTGCTAGGAAGGAATAACTGATCATATCCATGGGGGGATAATCTATCATTTTGTTAGTGAATGTGCATTTCTCATCGCCACTTGCACCTAGCTCAGGCTTTGACCATAATTAAGATATTTCTGTGCAAATGCTATAAATGGGGAGGCTATGAATCAACCCCAGCACCGGACTAATTAGCAAGCTGGACATATGTTTTGAATGGGAGGGATGACTTTTTCTAATTCTGCAAAGCTGTATGTAAATGCTGAAACACGGCAAACAAACTTTGTATCTTATTGTTCAGACTTTAAAGCGCATACTTACTCCTAAAGTAGCCGTTTCTTTTTTACTTGTGTACTTTTTGTCAGTTGAGTATTTTAATGTGACCTTGCCATAAGGGCTTTACAGTTGCCATGCCTGAAGCACAGGGAGAATCGATACGCAGAAGGGCACGAGGACGTGTGATACTTGATGACAAAATACCCACAACCTGCTGAAACAACACATTCCTTCCTGCTTGCTGACCACTTGCTCTCTGAATGTTAGTGTTAGCTGGAGGCTATACCCTGTCGGAGATCTGAACTTGGCTACTCACAGTAGTCATTTTGAATTATAGCACTTATTGCCTGTGCTGGGCTCAGTAATCTGGCCATTTCTATGTAAATTGGGCTTTGTGCCACCATAGTGGGCTTTTCTGTTCGCTTATGCAGCGGCTTGCCTCATCCCATAATGGCCCACCGTTACAATGAAATGATTAAAGCTAACTGTGAGAAAATGTCATGACAGTCAATCAGCTGAGTAGATAGGTCAACATAAGTATAGAAAGAAGAGGAAAGCACTCAGCCATGTGCCGTTGAAGACAGGTATAAGATTCAAGCAGCCATTTTTGGGTTGCATCCAGGTGCTTGCGTGTCTCTTTACATGGGGGAAGAGGGAAGAGCTCACTGGAGACAAACATTAGGGGAGGTTTATGGCTGACTCTGCGGTATCATTGTCATTTGCACAAGATTGGACATGCCTGAGCGAAAGAAAAATTACACTGTAGGTTATGTAGTGCTCCTGGCCATCTGGTACAGCCAGATCAGCTGTGAGAACATTTCACTCTCTTATTCTGTTTACTATGCTTATTATCACTTCTAGTTTTGCTCTTATAACTGCCTGGGGCCGATTTTCTTTCAGAAAGTTTTTATGTTTTTTGCATAAATTCTGATTTTTTTACTCTTTAATACCACCAAACACTCTTTACGCAAGCAAAGCAATCATGTCTCTTACAGATATTAACTTCTCTGTGTCCTTGACAGCAGTATCACTTAAAGGCATCACTATATTGAATTATCCAAAGAAAATTTGGTTTCTTTAAACTCTTTTCAAATCAAGCACAATGTAAATGAATTGTGAAACTTTTTTTGTCTCCTCTTTTTCATTGTCACTACTCAGTTCTCCTACCTGTATCACACTCTACTAAAGCAGATCTTTTCAACATCGTGTTGCTCTGACAGACAATTTCAAGAACTGCCTCATACGCTAACAGCTTCCTATCGAAGATGATTTATTAATATTTTTATGTGAACATGTGGATCGTGTGGTTTGACTTTAACGGCAGCAAGTTAGAGTAGATTTGCTGCTGTTATTGCCTCTTGTGTCATAAAACTTTAATTTAAAAAGCCAATACAGTTCCATGCAACTACACCGTGATCACCCTGTCTTCCTCAGATATGTAGCTTTACTGATAGATTTTTGAGAAGTGTCAAACAGCTGCTGCCTGCAAAGGTGACTTCTTGCATTTGCTTGTGTAACAACATGAAACCAACAACCATTAATGCTAACATCCACATCCGCTGTGAAGCGACGGAGCTAACTGCTGCACTGCTGTATCATAACAGCCAATATAAGAATCATGAAGTAGCTGGAAAAGTGGACAAAATCAAGAGAATGGATGATATATGTATGTATATGAGCACTGAGAAATGTTTGTGTCTCTCAGAGATGTTTCTTTTCTTTCACACCTGTAATCTGACTCATCTCAGATAACAAGACGAAGGCATTCAGGCCTCCCACACATGCCGCAACAGCAATTATACTCTGACACAACTACAGGGTGAGGCTTGGTGTCTAGCATTCCACGACACCCTCAAATTACCCAAACCAGAGGGGAAACAATACAGGGTGTAGTGGTTCATGTTGATCCATGCTAAGAGGCAGTTCAAGTAGCAAACCTTTGTTTTAGCCTTACATTGTGCTATTCTGCATAAAATCAATCAGAACTGAAATCTGGAAAGCGGGAGGTTTCAAATATGAAAAAGAGCACTTGACAGAAAAGATGCGGTTATGTGAAATTCAGACAGACGTATCGATTTTATGAATCAGCAGGTCTGAATTTATGAAAAACACACACAACAAAAGCTTTGATATAAAGATGTGGCTCCTGACCTTGTCCCAGTTTTTTCAGGGCTCTCGCTTTTCAAGTTTTCTTCTTTACCTTTTCCATTAATAACGCTATTTTCTCATCTCAGTCTATTTCTTCACATCTATTTGGCTCCTGCAAATATTGCCACTGTGAGATCCTCTGAGCATTGACTGACTGTATGTGGGGTCTAATCATCTGGGTTGGTTACAAAGACATCTTCCCCATAATCAATGCCACTGAAAGGGAAACTAAATCTTCTTAGGTTCCCACAAACCTTTGTAATATAGCACTGTCTACCACAGGGGGAATATCTATTTTCTCACATTTTGACTCTTCTTTTTTTCTCCCTACATCTTCGATTTTTGAACCACCTCATTTATTCTATATCATTATCCTTTAAAAAAGA